CAGTGATTTGGCATTATTCTCTGCATAGGTTTTTATCCCCAGGAGATGGTTCTAGCTTCCTCTATACTGAAAGCTTCTTGCACGCCTAGGCCAAATTAGGCTGTTTGCTCTGATACAGGGCGCAGCACAGCCCAATGCCAATGTTTGCCAAGTGAGCTGAATCTTATGGCCTCAGATACATCACTCTGCCTTGGTATATGCAATCTGGGACATGTGTATCTGTCTCCTCGAGTACACTGGGGTTTCTGAGAGGTGAGTGGCCCAGACATGGCACACAGTTGGCATCAAATGTTGCCTAAATTAGCCTAAATAGAACCATCCTTCTTCCCTTCATTCATTCAATAATTTTTTTGGAGCTTCCAGATAGCTGAACATATGAGGTTCCTAGAGGATGGTGTGCCCAAGGAGGTCATGGAAGCTTCATGCCCCTTCCTCCATAACTCTGTGCTACACATCTCTTCATCTGTATCCTTTATAATAAGCCACTAAAGCTAAGTATGGCCATGTGACTAAGTTCTGGCAATGGGACACAATCAGAAGTGGTATGAAGTGAGCAACCCTTCCTTTTCTCTTTCATTGGATAGAATGAGGCATTAGAAGGGAGCTTGGATTGGTCTTGGACAGGTGTGGATTAGGGCAACAGTCTGGAGATGGTGGAAGACCAAGATGGGAGTCTGCATCTTTGGCAGATTCTATTTTCCCAAGATAGAGGCAATACTATATCCCATTCCACAAGCTCTTCTTACACTGTGACTTTGACACACCCTTCCCATTAAAAAGGGGCATCTGGCCGGGTGTGGTGGCTCATGCCTGTAATTCCAGTACTTTGCGAGGCCAAGGCAGGTGGATCATGAGGTCAGGGGTTTGAGACTAGCCTGACCAACAAACCCCATCTCTACTAAAACTATAAAAATTAAAGGCCAGGCGCGGTGGCTCATGCCTATAACCCCAGCACTTTGGGAGGCTGAGGCGGGTGGATCACGAGGTCAAGAGATTGAGACCATCCTGGTCAACAAGGTGAAACCCTGTCTCTACTAAAAATACAAAAATTAGCTGGGCATGGTGGCACCCGCCTGTATAGTCCCAGCTACTCGGGAGGCTGAGGCAGGAGAATTGCTTGAACCCAGGATGCAGAGGTTGCGGTGAGCTGAGATCACGCCATTGCACTCCAGTCTGGGTAACAAGAGCAAAACTCTGTCTCAAAAAAAAAAAAATACAAAAAGTAGCCGGACATGGTGGTGTACCTGTAATCAGTCCCAGCTACTTGCAGGCTGAGGCAGGAGAATCGCTTCAATCTGGGAGGCGGAGATTGTGGTGAGCTGAGATCATGCCACTGCACTGGGCAACAGAGCGAGAGAGTCCATCTCAAAAAAAAAAAAAAAAAAAGGTGGCATTTATGTCCCCTCCCTATGAGCTAGAGGCGGGGTCTTTGTGACTGCCTTGACCAACAGAATATGTGAGCAGTAGGCCAGGCCTGGTGGCTTACACCTGTAATCCCAGCACTTTGGGAGGCCTAGGTGGCTCACAAGGTCAGGGGTTCAAGACCATTCTGGCCAACATAGTGAAACCCCCTCTCTACTAAAAATACAAAAATTAGCCAGGCATGGTGGCCCGCACTTGTAGTCCCAGCTACCTGGGGGGCTGAGGCAGGAGAATCGCTTGAACCCAGAGGCAGAAGTTGTGGTAAGCCGAGATCGCGCCATTGCACTCCAGCCTGGGCAACAAGAGTGAAACTCTGTCTTAAAAAAAAAAGAGCCGAGTGCTGTGGCTCACGCCTGTAATCCCAGCACTTTGGGAGGCCGAGGCGGGTGGATCACGAGGTCAAGAGATCGAGACCATCCTGATCAACATGGTGAAACCCCCGCGGAGGTTGTGGTGAGCCGAGATAGTGCCATTGCACTCCAGCCTGGGTAACAAGAGCAAAACTCCGTCTCAAAAAAAAAAAAAAGAATATGTCAGCAGTGACAGTGTGTAGCTTCCAAGACTAGCTAAAAAAAAAATGCCTTTCACTTCTGCCTTGTTCTTTTGGGACATTTACTCTTTAGAATCAGCCACCATACCGTGAGGAAGCACAAGCAGCCTGTGGAAAAGTCCATGTGGAGGGGAACCAACACTCACAGCCAAATCCCCTGCTAAGCTCCCAGCTGACAGACTGTACCAACTTGCCAGCCACATGAGTGAGCTGTCCTGGATGTGAGTTTGCAGCCTCTGGGCAAGCCACTTCAGCTGATGCCACCTGAAGCAGAAATGAGCTGCCTCCACCAAGCCCTGCCCAAATTACAGATCTGTGGGTAAAATAAATGATTGTGATTGTCATTTAAAAAAAAACAAAACCAAGCAATAATTTTTTTGTTTTTTGAGATGGAGTCCTGATCTTTTACCAGGCGGGATCTCGGCTCACTGCAACCTCCGTATCCTAGGTTCAAGCAATTCTCCTGCCTCAGCCTCCTGAGTAGCTGGGATTACAAGTGTGCACCACTGTGCCCACTACTTTTTTTGTGATTTTAGTAGAGACGGGGTATCACCATGTTGGCCAGGATGGTCTCGATCTCTTGACCTCGTGATCCACCTACCTCAGCCTCCCAAAGTGCTGGGATTACAGGCATGAGCCACTGTGCCCTGCCAACAATTTTTTTTTAAGGTCCTAATATATGCCAGGACCTGTGCTGGGCTCTGGGGACACAGCAGTAAACAAGACACATATAGTCTCTGCCCTCCTGGGGCTTCTATTCTAGTGGGGGAAGCAGAAGAAGAAGGAAGGGAAAATGAATAATATTGTTGCAGATTGATAAATGCTGTACAGAAAATAAACAGGGTGACAGGGATAAACAGTAAATGGGGTGAGGCATGGTGGCACATGCTTATAATCCCAGCACTTGGGGAGGCAGAGTCTGGAGGATCCCTTGAGGCCAGGAGTTTAAGATCGATCAGCCTGGACAACATAGTGAGACCTCCATCTCTATTAAATAAAGTTTTACAAAACAAAACAAAAAATAAGTGGGTGGACATTATGGGGAGGGGATGGGGAGAAAAGGCCTCTGTGCAATGTAAGCTGAGGCCTGAAGGAGAGTGGAAGGTGGGCTGGGAAGAGCTGGAAAGGGTGTTCTAGGCAGAAGGAGCAGCAGAAAAGGCCTAACTGGGTGTGGTGGCTCATGCCTGTAATCCCAGCACTTTGGGAGGCTGAGGCAGGGGGATCACCTGAGCCTAGGAGTTTGAGACTAGCTTAGGCAACTCAGTGAGACCCTATCTTTACAAAAAATACAGAAATTATCCAGATGTGTTGGTGTGCATCTAGTTGCAGCTACTTGGGAGGCTGAGATGGGAGGATGACCTGAGCCTGGGAGGTTGAGGTTGCAGTTAGCCATGATTGCACCACTGCACTCCTGCCTGGATGACAGAGTGAGACTCTGACTGCAAGAAACAACAGCAACAACAACAAAACAACAACAAAGGCCTGGAGGTGGGAAGTTTCTGGGACCCTGGGAATTCAGGGTTTCAGCCTAAAGAAGTGCTGAGCAGGAGGGTAGGAGGGGGCCAGAGGGCCCACTCCTGGGCTGGTGGTTGGAGGGGCAGGGCCAGCTCCTCCAAACGCCGCCACCCTTGCTGCCTGTTGCTGGGCACCAAGCAAACAGAGCCGCTGGCAGGCCTGCCTTTGCTGCCTTAGCTCCTCTCTGGCGGGCAGCAGATGTCAAATGTCCAGCAGCTTTGCCAGCCTGAGGCTTCGCCAGCCTCCTCCCCTGGAATAGTTCAGGGGTAAGTCAGAAAATGACCAGCAGCCTTAAAACTCAGCTTTTTCCCGTGCATACCTTACAAGGGTGTATTTGGCTGCCCTGGAATCTTCTACCCGCTTGCATTACATAGAGAAATGTAAATATACAGCACAGGCGACACATTCAGATGTGAGGATGAATGAACATCCAGTCACGCACAAGCACACAATCTGAGTCACACGAGGGACCATACACATGCTCCACAAACACAGTCATAACAGCCAGCCCCACACACACTCCACATGGCACCATCTCCATACATATTCACCCTGAGATCACACAATCACACATCCACATGCTCACACACAGACATGTACCCCACAATCACTGCAGAGTCACACAGGGGCACACAAGCCCACACACATTCAACACCACCTCATGCTTCCCCCACCCGCCTCGCAGGCATCCCAGCCCCTGAGGCTCATTATGGTGCTGGCATTCTTCTGCGATTGAGTCAAAGTCCCTTCCAGACAGGGCGGCTAAGTGGAAAAAAGAATCCGAAGGAAGAATGCCTGAGGCCCAGGTCTGGGAAGGGGCCCAGCAGCTTCTCTCTTGGGGAGAAAGATGTCAGTGCTGGTTTGACCCTGACACTAGTGAGCTGAGGACGTGGGGGGAGCTATGTCTTGACGTTGACAGAAGAGGGCTGAGTGAGGTGACAAGTGGAGCAGGGGAGAGACCCCAGGAAGCCTCCAAGAGTGGGGCAGAAAGCAGGGTTAAATATGGACTCAGCGTGACCATAAACTCCCCAGTTCTCCCAAACCCCCGACACCCACCAGCCCCCAGGCTCCAGGCTGTCCCCAAACTCGTGGGGTGTGGCCGTGAACACTCCTCCCCGGCTGCGCCCTGCCCCGCCCTTCACGACAGCTGCTGGGGACAGCCCGGAGTGCCCACAGGGTGACTGCGCTCCTTCCCCCCGTGGGTGGGGATCGGAGAGTATCTAGCGGCGCTGGACACCCACCAACACTCGCGGGCGAGGGGTGCTGGGTCCCTCTGAGCAGCCCGCCCAACCCTGTCCCTACCCTCCCAGGCTGGAACAGGAAGGTCTCCCTGGGGCTGCAGAGCCCCTTCTCCCCTCCTCTTCTGTGGGACCCCATGAAAGGAAGGGTGGGGAGACGGTTCTGGAAGACCACGGGTTGGGAGGTTTGGAGAGGGCGCGCCAGGCCCCTGTCCCCACCCCCGCCCCAGGCTGGTCCGGGAGGGGCGGCCTCTCCCCGCCCTCCGGGCCGCGCGGCCTCTCCCTCCTCCCCCGGCAGGAGCCCTGGCCAAGTGGGCGCGCCCGACTCGGGGCCGGCCGGGATCCGGTGTCGGCTGCAGCTGGCAGTGCGGCGGGCGCGGGCGCCGGAGCGAAGGGCCCGCGGGCCCGGCTATTAATAACGCTGCCGCCAGCCCGAGGTCGCGCAGCCATGGCCAGCCCGGAGCCCCGGCGCGGCGGGGACGGCGCCGCCCAGGCCGCGAGGTAGGACCCTGCCCGGCTCGCGTCGCCGCCCCCCTGGGGAGGGGATGCTGGACGGGTTCCCTTCCCCCGCCCTCGGGCGTCTTTCGCCTGCCTGGGGGTAGTGGTCCAGCCGGGGTGGGGCACTGGAGCCGCCTCGTGAGGGGACATCCGCGAGTCTGGCCGGTCCGGGGTTCCGGCACCTCCGTTTGTCTGTGGCTTTTTGTAATACCCCTCCCGCTCCCGGGGCTGCATGAGCATTAACCCTTCCAGGCGAGTGGGCATCCACCACTCCAGTGCCATTTGGCCCATGGCAGCCAAAGACACTTCTCGCTTGCCTTCATTCCTCCCTGCAAATGTCAGCTGGAGTCGGAGGCCTCCCCTGCTGAAATGGCTGTGTGGAAGCCACTTGGTGCAAGGCTGGGCATCTGCCAGCTTGAAATTAAGACTCTGTCAGAGCTTGTTCTCTCTGGTCTGGCCTGGGATGGGTGGGGGAAGGGTCATGGGCCCTCCCCACTATCCATGCTGGCAGCCCACGGCTTAGTAAGGGAAGGGACCTGTGGCTGAGGGATTTGGGGTGAGTGGCAAGTATTTCTGTCCCAGGTCATACTGTGGCTCTGGGACTTCACAGTGTACCAAGAGGTGAGGATGCAAATACACATATCCTGACACCCCTTCACTGTCACACGGGGGCACAAAACAGCAGTCTTACACACACATACTCGCCTGTACTGCTGTCCACGCCTATGGCTACACAGTCAGACACACGGACTCTTGCCTGCACAATGTCACACACATTCCCAGCCACATCCCTGAACAGGAATGGAGAGCTCTGCGGGTCCTCTGGGGACAGGGCCCAAGGAAGCCTGAGGGTCCCCAGCTAAGCTGGCTTCCTCTCCCCTGAGCCTCCTGTCATCTGCTTCTTTCCCTTCTCTCTCTCTCTCTGTTTAAGAGAAGTGGCTGTGTGAGGACAGCACCAGCAGAGGCCTGGCACCATGGGTGGGTGGCAGAGGCAACACGATGTGTGCTCACAGTACAGCTTGGAGGTCAGGAGGCCTGGGTTCTACTTCCAGCTTTGCCACTCGACCTTGGGCAGATTTCCTCCTTGGAGTTCACCCAGTTTCTGCCTGTCTGCCTTTACTGAGCCCCACCCTAGGATAGAAAGGAGAATAAGAACTCTGCTTGTCCTTAGGAAACTCACTATCAGGGAGACAGACACATGCACTTTTGTAACTGGAGCAGTAAGTGTGAAGATGTGCTGCTGAGAACACAGATGGGGTTGTCTGGGAGATGCCTTATGGAACAGATGAAATCTGAGCAGGGCTTAAAGGATGAGTAGAAATTTGTTAGGTAGGTGGGGCGTGGTGGCTCATGCCTGTAATCCCAGCACTTTGGGAGGCTGAGGCAGGCAGGTCACCTGAGGTGGGGAGTTCAAGACCAGCCTGATCAGTAAGGTGAAACCCGTCTTTAAAAAAACAAAAATTAGAAATTTGTTAGGTAGGGAGGGATAACATGGGGAGAAATGCCAGATATAGGTGATGGGGAGGAAGGCAGCAAACCACATTACCATATAGGTACCTATGCAACAATCTTGCATGTTCTTCACATGTACCCCAAAACCTAAAACGCAATAAAAATATATAAATATATATATAAAATTTGTTAGGTAGAAGTATATTGTGAGACCCGAGCACAGTGGCTCATGCCTGTAATCCCAGCATTTTGGAAGGCTGAGATGGGCGGATCACCCAACGCCAGGAGTTCAAGACCAGCCTGGCCAACATGGCAAAACCCTGGCTCTACTAAAAATACAAAAAATTAGCTGGGCTTAGTGGTGTGTGCCTGTAATACCAGCTACTTGGGAGGCTGAGGCAAGAGAATTGCTTGAGCCCAACAGGCGGAGGCTGCAGAGAGCTAAGATCACGCCATTGCACTCCAGCCTGGGCCACAAGAGTGAAACTCTGGCTCAAAAAAAAAAAAAAAAGGGTCTGGGTACAGTGGCTCACACCTGTAATCCCAACACTTTGGGAGGCCAAGGCAGGTGGATCGCAAGGTTGGGAGATCGAGACCATCCCACTAGCTAACATGGTAAAACCCCGTCTCTAAAAAAAACAAAAAAAGGATATTGTAACTGCTGCATGCCAGGCTCTATTATATGTGCTGTAGTTACCTCTTTTGGACCTCACACCTATCCTAGGAGGATAGTAAATACCGCAGGCCTTCCCCAGCCTTTGCCACTTATAAGAGTTGCGGAGGCCGAGTGCAGTGGCTCACGCCTATAATTCCAACATTTTGGGAGGCCGAGATTGGGCAGATCACGAGGTCACGAGTTCCAGACCAGCCTGGCCAACATAGTGAAATCCTATCTCTACTAAAAATACAAAAATTAGCCAGGCATGGTGGCAGGCGCCTGTAGTCCCAGCTACTCAGGAGGCCAAGGCAGGAGAATAGCTTGAACCCCGGAGGCAGAGGTTTCGGCGAGCTGAGATTGAGTCATTGTACTCCAGCCTGGGCAACAAGAGTGAAACTGTCTTAAAAGAAAAAAAAAAGAGTTGTAGAAACTTGTGTGAGGTTTTTGGTTGCTATTGTTTTGTTTTTTCAGATGGAGTCTCGCTTTGTTGTCAGGCTGGAATACAGTGGCACAATCTCGGCTCACTGCAACCTCCATCTCCAGGTTAAACTATTCTCCTGCCTCAGCCTCCTAAGTAGCTGGGACTACAGGCATATGCCACCATGCCCATCTAATTTTTTGTACTTTTAGTGGAGACGGAGTTTCACCATGTTGACCAGGATGGTCTTGATTTCCTGACCTTCTGATCCACTCACCTCGGCCTCCCAAAGTGCTGGGATGACAGGCGTGAGCCACCGCACCTGGCCGTGAGTTCTTTATCTGTGCATTGGCTTCTTCATCTATAAAATGGGGATAATAGATGAAGATTCTTTTTTTTTTTTTTGAGACGGAGTTTCTCTGTTTTTACCCAGACTGGAGTGCAATGGCACGATCTCGGATCACCGCAAACACCGTCTCCTGGGTTCAAGCAATTCTCCTGCCTCAGCCTCCCAAGTAGCTGGGACTACAGGCACACACCACCATGCCCAGCTAATTTGTTGTATTTTTAGTAGAGATGGGGTTTCACCTTGTTGACCAGGATGGTCTCGATCTCTTGACCTCATGATCCACCCGTCTCGGCCTCCCAAAGTGCTGGGATTATAGGCGTGAGCCACTGCACCCAGCCACTTTTTTTTTGTTTTTAAGAGAGTCTTGCTCTTGTTGCTCAGGCTGGCATACAATGACGCGATCTTGGCTTACTGCAGCCTCTGCTTCCCTAGTTCAAGTGATTCTCCTGCCTCAGCCTCTCCAGTAGCTGGGATTACAGGCCCCCACCACCATGCCCATCTAATTTTTTGTATTTTTAGTAGCGATGGGGGTTTCACAATGTTGTCCAGGCTGGTCTTGAACTCCTGACCTCAGGTGATCCACCTGCCTTGGCCTCCCAAAGTGCTGGGATTACAGGTGTGAGTCACCATACCCGGCCAATAGATGAGGATTCTATAAATGAGGTTGATGTAAAATGCCTAGAATAATCTTGAACATAGTGAAGTCATTCCAAGGTGGGTGGCTCGGCAGGAGAATGACGCAAGGGCCGTGTGCTTGGAAAGCAGGGACCATTGAGTATCACAGTAGGTTTGGCTCTAGGAGCTCTGCCTTTCCAGGTAGAACAGGGTTGTTTTTTAGTTAGGCGGTTTTTGAGAAGCTGCATTTCTCAGCTGGACACTGTGGGCTAAGAGTAGGAGGTGTAAAAAGTTAATGCATGCTTCGGGATGTCAAGCATTGGGTGAGTTGCAGAAAGAATGTGAGATGAGGCTAAAAAAGGCATGTTTGGGCCACATCTTTAAGGACCTTGGAACTATGCCTAGCAGTTTGGGTATGTTTTGGTGAAGTGGAACAATAGTTCACTCTGTGTTGTACCAAGTTAACTGTGGTGGTGTAGAGAATAGATTGGGGTGAGGAGAGGAGGAAGTCCTGTTAGAAAACCAGGATAAAAGTGCCAGTGAGACCTGATGACTTGGAGTAGGGCCCGGATAGTGGGATGCAGAGAGAGGGATGGAGACTGTAGTCTTTCTGAGATAGCTAGGTCACTTCTTGGTTGGGTGCATTGGCTCATGCCTATAATCCCCAGCACTTGGGGAGGCCGAGGCGGGTGGATCACAAGCTCAGGAGATTGAGACCATCCTGGCCAACATGGTGAAACTCTGTCTCTGCTAAAAATACAAAAATAAGCTGGGCATGGTGCCGTGTGCCTGCAGTCTCAGTTACTAAGGAGGCTGAGGCAGGAGAATCGCTTGAACTGGGAGGCGGAGGTTGCAGTGGGCTGATATCATGCCACTGAACCCAGCCTCGGCGATAAAGCGAGACTCCTCTCAAAAAAAAAGAAAAAGAAAAGAAAAAAGAAATGTCCCTCTTAATGAACTGGCTATATAGGGGAGGGAAAGAGCTGTCCGAAGATTTCTTGTCTATGGCTGCATGCAGTGGCTCATGCCTTATAATTCCAGCACTTTGGGAGGTCTAGGTGGGAGGATCGCTTGAGCTCAGGAGTTTGAGACCTGCCTTAGTAATATGGTAAGACTTCATCTCTATAAAAAGTTACAAAATCAGTGGGTATGGTGGTGCGTGCCTGTAGGCCTGGCTTCTCAGGAGGCTGAGGGAGGAGGATTGCTTCAGCCAGGGAGGTTGAGGCTGCAGTGAGCTATGATCACGCCACTGTACTCAGGCCTGGGTGACAGAGGGAGACTCCATCTCAAACAAAACAGAAACAGGTAAGATCAAAGCCATTTGCATTTGAGGGGCAAAACAGCAAGAGAGCACTCCCCAGGGGAACTGACTGAGCTGGCAGCTGAGTCAAAGAACTCACATGTTGGAACGACAGAATCTGAATTCAAGAGCCTTTGACAGACTAGAAGGGTGAACCAGTTCTTTTTTATTTTTGAGTCACAGTCTCGCACTGTAGCTTGGGCTGGAGTGCAATGGTCTGATCTTGGCTCACTGCAACCTCCGCTTCCTGGGTTCAAGTCATTCTCCTGCAGAAGCCTCCCAAGTAGCTGGGATTACAGGTGCCCGCCACCCCAGGCCCAACTAATTTTTTGGTCAAAGTCAGCACTTGTCAAGAGTATGTTATATAGCTGGGCACAGTGATTCACACCTATAATCCCAGCACTTTGGGAGGCTGAGGCAGGAGAATCGCTTGAGCCCAGAAATTCAAGACCATCCTGAGCAACATGGTGAAACCAAGATCGTGCTATTGCACTCTAGCCTGGGCAACAAGAGTAAAGCTCTATCTGAAAAAACAACAACAACAAAGAAAAAAAAGAAAAAAAAATAAATAAATAAAAGGCTGGGTTTGGTGGCTCACGCCTGTAATCCAAACACTTTGGAGGCCAAGGCGGCGGATCACCTGAGGTCGAGAGTTCAAGACCAGCCTGACCAACATGGTGAAACCCCGTCTTTAAAAAAATAAATGAATAATAAAATAAAATAAAATAAAAAACAAAACCAGCTTATCTTTGTTACTCTATACATGGCCAGGTTTCCAGCGCCCTCTTCATTTATGTGATATCTTTGTGACATAAATGACAGCGTTTAGACTGTCACTGTCTTGAGGATGGTTTTCTAAAATTTACCTTTATTCTTAAGTTCCCCAAGAGCTTGAAATTGGGGATGTGTAGGTGGGACGGCTCACTTCTATTGATAATCCCAGCACTTTAGGAGGCCAAGACAGGTGGATCACCTGAGGTCAGTAGTTCAAGACCAGCCTGGCCAACATGGGGAAGGCCTGAGGTATTTACCATCCTCCTAGGACAGGTGTGAGGTCCAAAAGAGGTAACTATAGCACATATAATAGAGCCTGGCATGCAGCAGTTACAATATCACTGTGTTTCCCAGGCTGGTCTTGAACTCCTGACCTTGTTAGAACTGGCCCACCCACGGATCACTGCAACCTCCGCTTCCTGGGTTCAAGGGATTCTCCTGCCTCAGTCTCCTGAGTAGCTGGGATTATAGGCATGTGCCACTATGCCCAGCTAATCTTTTTTTTTTATTTTTTTGAGACAGTCTCACTCTGTCGCCAGGCTGGAGTGCAGTGGCACAATCTTGGCTCTCTGCAACCTCTGACTCTCTGTCTGGTTCAAGTGATTCTCCTGCCTTAGCCTTCTGAGTAGCTGGGATTACGGGCACGCACTACCACGCCCAGCTAATTTTTGTATTTTTAGTAGAGACGAGGTTTCACCATGTTGGCCAGGATGGTCTCGAACTCCTGACATTGTGATCCACCCTCCTTGGCCTCCCAAAGTGCTGGGATTACAGGTGTGAGCCACCACACCCAGCCAATCTTTTAATTTTTTTAGTAGAGACAGGGTTTCTCCATGTTGGTCAGGCTGGTCTTGAACTCCCGACCTCAGGTGATCCACCTGCCTCGGCCTCCCAAAGCGCTGGGATTACAAGTGTGAGCCACTGCGCCCAACCATTTTGTTTTGTTTTGTTTTGTTTTGTTTGCCCTGCCTCCCCCCCAATTTTTTTTTTTTTTTTTTTTTTTTTTTTTTAGAGATAGAGTCTCTGTTGCCCAGGCTGGAGTGCAGAATGGTGCAATCATAGCTCACCTCAGCCTCGACCTCCCAGGCTCAGGTGATTCTCCCACCACAGCCTCCCGAGTATCTGGGACTACAGGTGTGCGTTATCATGCCCAGCTAATTTTTGTGTTTTTTTTTTTTTTGGAGATGGGGTTTTGCCATGTTGCCTAGGCTGGCCTCAAACTCCTGGATTCAAGAGGTCTTGGCCTCCTAAAGTACTGGGATTACAGACATGAGCCACTGCACTTGACCATGGTTATTTTTTAAGTGTTTAGAGAACTTACATGGCAAAGAAGGTAGAAATATCTGATCCTAGAAGAAAGAATCAGGTAAATCCAGTGGCTAAAAGTTATAAGGAAGGGCTGGGTGTGATGGCTCATGCCTGTGATCCCAACACTTTTGGGAGACTGAAGAGGGCAGATCACAGCAGATCAGAAGTTCAAGACAAGCATGGCCAACATGGTGAAACCTTGTCTCTACTAAAAGTACAAAAATTAGCAGGATGTGGTGGTACATGCCTGTAGTCCCAGCTACTTGGGAGGCAGAGGCTGAAATGGCACCACTGCACTCCAACCTGGGGGACAGAGGGAAACTCTATCTTAAAGGAAAAAAAAAGTTGCAAGGAAGGTTTTACCTCAACATTATAATTTTACTATAACTGGGCCAGGTGCAGTGACTCATGTCTGCAATCCGAGCACTTTGGGAGGCCAGGTGGGTGACCTGAGGTCAGGAGTTTGAGGCCAGCCTGGCCAATATGGGAAAATGCCATCTCTACTAAAAATACAAAAATTAGCTGCGCATGGTGGCACATGTTTGTAATCCTAGCTCCTCTGGAGGCTGAGGCAAGAGAATTGCTTAAACCCGGGAGGTGGAGGTTGCAGTGAGCCGAGATTGTGCCACTGCACCCCAGTCTGGGCGACACAGTAGCATTCCATCCCCCGAACAACAAAAAAAAGTTTTTCTTTTTTTGAGATGGAGTTTCACTGTTGTTTCCCAGACTGGAGTACAATGGCACGATCTCGTCTCACCGCAACCTCTACCTTCTGGGTTCAAGCAATTCTCCTGCCTCAGCCTCCTGAGTAGCTGGGACTACAGGCGCGCACCACCATGCCCAGCTAATTTTTTTTTTTTTTTGAGATGGAGTTTCGCATGTTACCCAGGCTGGAGTGCAATGGCACGATCTCGGCTCACTGCAACCTCCACCTCCTGGGATCAGGCAATTCTCCTGCCTCAGCCTCCCGAGTAGCTGGGATTACAGGCACACGCCACCATGCCCAGCTAAGTTTTTTTTTTTGTATTTTTAGTAGAGATGGGGTTTCACCATGTTGACCAGGATGGTCTCGATCTCTTCACCTCGTGATCCACCTGCCTCAGCCTCCCAAAGTGCTGGGATTACAGGCGTGAGCCAGCGCGCCCAGCCAATTTTTGTATTTTTAGTAGAGATGGGGTTTCACCTTGTTGACCAGGATGGTCTCGATCTCTTGACCTCGTGACCCACCCGCCTCGGCCTCTCAAAGTGCTGGGATTATAGGCGTGAGCCACCGCGCCCGACCCAAAAAATTTTTTTATTATAACTGTGGAGCAAACAGTGGTGCCTCAGGTTATCTTGAGTCCTTGGAGCTGCATAAGCAGAGAACACATGGTGATGTTGCTAAGATGCTGGCTGGGGATCTACACAGTGGTTAGGTGTGTGGAGGGGAGGATTGACAGAGTGGAGGGAGCAGACAAGTGGCTGCTGACATCTAAGACCCTGAGGTAGTCTAGGCCCATGGCTGCTGGCTCCAGGCTTGCACCATCCTGGGATTGTGGCTGCCCTTTCACTTCCAATCATTTCTTTTGCAGGAAAACAAGAGCAGAGCCCAATTCTCTTCAACAGAACCCTGAATCCCTAAATGAGGCAGAGGCCTTGAACCCAGAAGTTACTCTATCTTCAGAGGGGACCTTAAACCTAGAAGACATTCTCTACCTGGAGGACACAGGTGACCTTGATGAGACACTCTATGTGCAAGAGAATGAGAAGCCAGAGGAGGCCCTGTATATTGAGGAGGCCATGCAGCCAGATAAGGCTCTGTATGTGGAGGAGCCTGGGAATCCAGAGACAGTGTGTGTGGAGGAAACCCTGGAGCCAGATGGGATACAGTTTGTGGAGGGGCCCATGGAGCCAGGAAGGCCCACAAGCCCAGAGCAGGTTGTTTGTGAGGGAGAAACGGTCACAAGGGTGGAGAAATCTAACCCTGAAGAGAGCCTCAGAGGCGAACTGAGCCCCAGTCTGGAGGAGGAGGAGCTGAGCCCCAGTCTGGAGGAGGAGAACCTGAGCATAGAGGACCTGGAATTGCTAGAGGGGCGTTTCCAGCAGTGTGTCCAAGCTGTGGCCCAGCTGGAAGAGGAGAGGGATCAGCTCATCCATGAGCTTGTGTTGCTCCGGGAACCAGCCCTGCAGGAGGTACAGCAAGTCCATCAGGACATCCTGGCTGCCTACAAGCTCCACGCCCAAGCAGAGCTGGAGAGAGATGGGCTAAGGGAGGAGATCCGGCTGGTCAAGCAGAAACTGTTCAAGGTGACAAAGGAATGTGTGGCCTACCAATACCAGCTGGAGTGCCGCCAGCAGGACGTGGCTCAGTTTGCCGATTTCCGGGAAGCACTGACTACAAGGGCTGCCCAGCTCTCAGAGGAACTGGCACAGCTCCGGGATGCCTATCAGAAGCACAAGGAGCAGTTGCAGCAACAACTAGAGGCCCCTCCAAGCCAGAGAGATGGGCACTTTCTCCAGGAGAGCCGGCGACTCTCTACCCAGTTTGAAAATCTCATGGCAGAGAGCCGCCAGGGCCTGGAGGAGGAGTACGAGCCTCAGCTCCTGCGGCTCCTAGAGAGGAAAGAAGCTGGGACCAAAGCTCTGCAGAAAACCCAGTGTGAGATTCAGGAGATGAAGGAGGCTCTGAGACCCCTACAAGCAGAGGCCTGGCAGCTCCGACTGCAAAACAGGAACCTAGAGGACCAGATTGCACTTGTGAGGCAAAAACGAGATGAAGAGGTGCAGCAGTACAGGGTAGGCCCACTGGGCATGAAAGGAACTGAGGTCTTTTAACTTGGAGAAAGGGTGGCCAGAATCCAAGGTCTTTGGGGCTGAAGGATACTGTCACATGTAGAAAGAAAAACTTGTTATTTGGCACCATTCATTTTTTCTTTTTTTTTTTTTTTTTTAATTGAGACAGGGTTTCACCATGTTGGCCAGGTTGGTCTCGATCTCCTGACCTTGTGATCCACCTGCCTTGGCCTCCCAAAGTGCTGGGATTACAGGCATGAGCCACGGCGCCTTGCCAAGGGGCCATTTTTTTTTTTTTTTTGAGATGGAGTTTCGCTCTTGTTACCCAGGCTGGAGTCCAATGGCGCGATCTCGGCTCACCGCAACCTCCGCCTCCTGGGTTCAGGCAATTCTCCTGCCTCAGCCTCCTGAGGAGCTGGGATTACAGGCACGCGCCACCATGCCCAGCTAATTTTTTGTATTTTTAGTAGAGACAGGGTTTCACCATGTTGGCCAGGTTGGTCTCGATCTCCTGACCTTGTGATCCACCTGCCTTGGCATCCCAAAGTGCTGGGATTACAGGCGTGAGCCACCGCGCCTAGTCTCTTTTTTCTTTTTTTATATATATTTTTTAAAGATGGGGTTTCACCATGATGGCCAGGCTGGTCTTGAACTGACATCAGGTGATCCACCCACCTCGGCCTCCCAAATGCTAGGATTACAGGCGTGAGCCACCACACCCGAGCAAGAGATGGGGCTTCACCATGTTGGCCAGGCTGGTCTTGAACTACTGACCTTAGGTGATCTGCCCGCCTCAGCATCCCAAAGTGCTGGGATTACAGGTGTCAGCCACCGCGCCTGGCCCAATTTTTGTATTTTTAAGTAGAGATCGGGTTTCATCATGTTGGTTAGGCTGGTCTTGAACCCCTGACCTCGTGATCTGCCTGCCTCAGCATCTCAAAGTGCTAGGATTACAGGTGTGAGCCACCATGCCTGGCTGGGGCCACTCAATTCTTTTCTCCATTCTTCATTCATTCAGGCCCATGCTAGGGACAAAAAGTTATCTGTGCTGTTTTTTGTGACAGGGTCTTGCTGTCACTTATGCTGGTGCAGTGACATTATCACAGCTCACTGCAGCCTTGACCTCCCAGGTTCAAGCAATCCTCCTACCTCAGCCTCTTGAGTAGCTGGGACCACAATCATGAACCACCATGCCCAGCTAATTTTTTCTTTTTTGAGACAGGTGCAATCTTGGCGGGCTCACTGCAGCCTCAAACTCCTGGGCTCAAGCGATCCTCCTGTCTCAGCCCCCCAAGCAGCTGGGACTACAAGTGTGTGACACCACGCCTGGCTAATTTTTTGTAGAGGCAGGGTTTCACCATGTGGCCCAGGCTGGGCTTGAACTCCTGAACTCAAGCTATCAACCTGCCTTGGCCTCTTGAAGAGCTGGGATTTATAGGTGTGTGCCACCGCAGTTGGCCAATTTTTGTATTTTTTGTAGACAGGGTTTTGCCATGTTGCCCAAGCTGGTCTTGAAATCCTGGACTCAAGTACTTTTAATGGCAAAAGCTGCAATTAATTTTGTAGCAACCTTAATAGAACAGTCTCATCTTCATTTTCCTTTTATGTGCATTTGTCCCCACCTCTCTTGCATTCAAGTTATTTCTGATTAAGTGTGAGCCAGTTCTAATCCCTTTTTAGAACAGAGTGGGATATAAATACGAAGTGAATAAACAATTACGTAGTCCCTCCTAGACTGTGAGCTTTCAGAAGGTAGGGAATACATTTTATTTATCGTTGTATTACTCTCTGCAACTCATGGCTCAGAGCACATTTCAGTTAAGTGCTGCTGGGCACTAATGAGAAGACTATAGTGTGGTGCTCTAAGCAATATTTTAATCTTTTGAAACTCATTCCATTAGATAAACTGAAAAATCTATGTCCCAGAGATTTTGATATGCCCTTAAAGGAACAAGTTTCCTTGTTGAAATGGCTGCATTGACTTCACTGAATATTTTGTCAAGCTTTCTGTAGTCTGTATTATGAAACCCTGTGGTCCAGGTGTGGTGGCTCACGCCTATAATCCCAACACTTTGGGAGGCCAGGGTGGCCAGAGCACGAAGTCAGGAGCTTGAGACCACCCTGGACATGGTGAAACCCCATCTCTACTAAAAATACAAAAAAACTAGCTGGGCATGGTGGCAAGTTCCTGTAGTCCCAGCTACTTAGGAGACTGAGGCAGGAAAATCGCTTGAAACTGGGAGGCAGAGGTTGCAGTGAGCTGAGATCATGAACTCCAGCTCGGTGACAGGGCAAGACTCCTGTCTCAAAAACAAACAAAAACTAGGCCAGGCATGGTGGCTCACACTTGTAATCCCAGCACTTTGGGTGGCTGAGGAGGGCAGGTCATGAGGTCCGTTCAAGACCGGCCCGGCCAACACAGTGAAACCCCGAGGAGGCTGCTGTTAGCTGTGATCACACCTCTGAACTCCAGCCCAGGCAACAGAGAGACCCTGTCTCAAAAAAAAAGAAATTGTGTGTGTTGGGTGGGAGGGAGAATACTGTCCTCAAAGAGTTTGTACTCCAGAAGTAAGGAAACAGACAAAATTAATTTATTTCATAAAATCTAAGCACTGTTGATTTTAACGTGCATCCTGATCTGAGATGTTAAAATATCACAGTCTTGGAATCAATGAAACATGAATGTGGTAAGCACTGTAACAGCTGTAGTGATGAGGCACTATCCTGATTAAAACAGGCATGACTACCCAAACCTGGGCAAACGAGGAGACATTTCATACATCAATAGCTAGAATATATTTCAAGTTCTTTACACAAAATATTCCTTTAGGGCCAGGTGTGGTGGCTCATGCTTGTAATCCCAGCACTTTGGGAGGCTGATGCAGACAGAAAACCTGAGGTTGGGAGTTTGAGACCAGCCTGACCAACATGGTGAAACTAAAAATACAAAACTTAGCCAGACATAGTGGCACCTGTAATCCCAGCTACTCAGGAGGCTGAGGCAGGAGAATCGCTTGAACCTGGGAGGCAGAGGTTGCAGTGAGCCAAAGTTGTGCCACTGCACTCCAGCCTGAGCAACAGAGTGAGACTCCATCTCAAAAAATAATTCCTTTAGTCCTTACATCTCTATGAGTTAGTGAAAAGCCGTCTGAAAAATGAGAAAAAGAGGTAAGGCAGAGCAGTGATTTGCCCAGAGTTAGGAAGCTTGAGAGTGATGGAGCGAGGATGTAACTCCTGAGCAATCTAGTTTATGCCCATACTCAGGCTCTAGGGGATGCTGGAGCTGAGCATTAAGAATGAATTCACGCTGAGCGCAGCTCACTCCTGTAATCCCAGCATTTTGGGAGACTGAGGCAGGGGTATCACCTGAGGTCAGGCGTTCTAGACTAGCCTTACCTATATGGTGAAACCCTGTCTCTACTAAAAATAAAAAAATTAGGCTGCCTATAGTCCCCGCTACTTGGAAGGCTGATACAGAATTGCCTGAACCTGCGAGGCAGAGGTTGCAATGAGCTGAGATGGCACCACTACACTCTAGCCTGGGCAACAAAGCAAGACTCCATCTCAAAAAAAAAAAGGCTGGGCGCGGTGGCTCACGCCTGTAATCCCAGCACTTTGGGAGGCCGAGGCAGGTGGATCAGGAGGTCAAGAGACCAAGACCATCCTGGTCAACATGGTGAAACCCCGTCTCTACTAAAAATACAAAAAATTAGCTGGGCATGGTGGTGCGTGCCTGTAATCCCAGCTACTCAGGAGGCTGAGGCAGGAGAATTGCCTGAACCCAGGAGGCAGAGGTTGCGGTGAGCCAAGATCGCGCCATTGCACTCCAGCCTGGGTAACAAGAGCGAAACTCCGTCTCAAAAAAAAAAAAAATTACTGGGCAGGCAAGGGAGAGGTCTTCCAGGCAGAGGGAACAGCTCATACAAAAGCATGGAAACACAAAAAAACGTTTTGGGAAGTGAGCTTACTGTGGCAAAATAAGGAATTTAAGAACTAGATCCAGCTGGACTAAACAGTTTTATGTATTCTTTAGACCAGTAGTTTCCAAAAAAGGTTTTCTCTAAAGCCATAGCCCTTCTCCCCCAGAGAATTTAATGTAGAATGCCAATATATAAAACAGGTAAAAGTGGAGTTCTCTAACTCAAAAGTATCAAGGACACTCCAATTTGGCCAGCTCTTGGGGTTTCACAAAAAAGTCTGAGAACCACTATAGAGCCTATTACCTTGAGTATGAGCTCTAAGCCAATGGCAAGTCCTGGCTCTATCATTTGAGTTGGAAACTTCGGACAAATTACTTAAGCTCTGTGGCTCAGCACCCTCACATGTAACATGAGATTAATAACATAAGCCTAATACTACACTACTACAGTATTATTAATGGACTAGACTTCTCTTTTAACTTACTCATTTTTTTTTTTGAGACAGTCTTGCACTGTCACCCAGGCTGTAGTGCAGCAGCTTGATCTCGGCTCACTGCAACTTCCGACTCCTGGGTTCAAGCAATTCTACTGCCTCAGCCTCCTGAGTAGCTGGGACTACAGGTGTGTGCCACCATGCCCAGCTAATTTTTTTGTAGTTTATAGAGATGGGGTTTTACCATGTTGACCATGATGGTCTTGATCTCCTGACCTCATGATCTGCCCGCTTTGGCCTCCTAAAGTGTTGGGATTACAGGCGTGAGCCACCAAACCTGGCCTTCTTACTCATCCTTTAAACCCAAGTAACACCTGATATCCTTAGTGTGCGACAGATAACCTCCTGTTTTCCACAGCACCTGTTATTTCATACTATTGCTATAGTAGTTCCCTCTTTCCTGAGTTGGGGAATGTATCCTTTCTCTGTCTTTGCCCTAGGTAGAAAATTAAAATTGGGAATGCTGTAAATGCAAATGCTGGGGCTACTGTAGACAGACATGTACTGGCCCTTGAGAAATGAGTAATATGTAGGTAGAAGACAGCAGAGAACAAGGGTCTGTCTAGGTGAAAGAAGTGGCAGGAACACAGGCACAGAGATCTGCGTTGGTCAGGCTACAGTAGTGCTAATATCACTGCAAGCCACAGATGTCATTTTAAATGTTCTGGTAGGTCTATTAAAAAAAAAAGGTTAAATTAACTTTAATGCATTTTATTTAGTCCAGCACATATATTTAAACATATAATCAGTACCAAATATTGAGGTATTTCACATTCTTTTTGTGTGTGCTGTCTTAGAAATAAATCTGCTGTGTATTTTACATTTACATCACACCTCAATTCAGACTAGTCATATGTGAAAGGACTAATATGACTAGTGGCTTCAGTACTAGTTCAGGGCTAGATAAAAATGTTCATATGGAAGAAAAACGGAGGTTCAAGTTGGATGTAGGAGTCAAACTAGAGAGGGGTCTGAATGCCACTAAAGTGGAAAGCCTTTGAAGGATTTTGAATTGATTGGAAAGTTAATCTAGTAGTTAACACAGGATTAAGAGAGATCCTCCTCAATGCCACTGTAGCAATCTTGCCTTCATTTCAGTGAGGCTGTGCCACTGCCATAGCTTATCTCTGGTGGTGCTGACTGCTTTTCCAAGCAAGTACTTTCGTGCCTTATCAACAGGTCTGGTAGGTAGTGAGGACTGGGAAATCAAAACAGCAGTATGCAGATGCTTCCCTCTTCAGATGACACACTCTTAGGCATGGCTGGGTACTAAAAAAGGTCCTTTGACAATGTTGGTGAAAGCCGAGATTCAGCCAGAGTATCAAACAGTGCAGATTGATGTATCACAGGTACAATGTCAAATATGACTCAAGAGGACAAATTATCTAGATCCTTCTAATACTAGCATGCACCCCAACTGGATTCCTTTGTATTCTTCAAAATCTGTTAGTCATTGTCCCTTTAAAAGATACCAACTCCCTCCTGCTTCCTTAAGGATCCATGCCAGCTAGCAGGTAAACCAGAGACTGACTTGCAGACATCTTCCTTACTTTATTCCTCAGGTATACATCCTAGGCAGGGATTTCTTTTTTTTGAGATGGAAGTCTCCCTCTGTTGCCAGGTTGCAGTGCAGTGGTGTGATTTCAGCTCACTGCAACTTCTGCCACCCAATATCAAGTTCTCCTGCCTCACCCTCCCAAGTAGCTAGAACTATAGGCACACCCCAACACGCCCAACTAATTTTTATATTTTTAGTTAAGACAGTTTCACCATGTTGGCCAGAATGGCCTCAATCTCTTGACCTCGTGATCCACCCACCTCAGCCTCCCAAAGTGCTGGGATTACAGGCATGAGCCACCGTGCCTGGTCAGGCAGGGACAACTTACAGAATGCATCCCAGCCTGGTTTTGGAAGAATGAGAAAGTTATCTGAGGGCTATGAAGGGCCTCCTGTGCATTGCATCTTCATCTTCCAACTTACAACTACTAAACAAATTCAGTCTTTCTGTGTAATGAAAAAAGGATGAGCCAGGTGCAGTGGCTCCCGCCTGTAATCCCAGCACTTTGGGAGGTGGGAGGAGTCCTTGAGCCCAAGAACAAGACTAGCCTGGGCAACGTGGCAAGACCCTGTCTCTATAAAAGAAATTAAAATATGCAGGAAATTAACACAGGACAGCCAACACCCTCACTAAAGCATCAATTTGCATATGAAGTTAAGTACTAAATAGAAATTATCTGACTTTAAGGAACTTTGGAAACAAAAACTTTTTCCTTAAGCCAATTATTTTCTATTTTTTTTTCCCTCAGATTTGGTCTTGTTGCCCAGGCTGAGTGCAATGGCTATCCTGGCTCACTGCAACCTCCACCATCCAGGTTCAAGCAATTCTCGTGCCTCCTAGCCTCCTGAGTAGCTGGGATTACAGGCCCCCACCACCATACCCAGCTAATGTTTTGTATTTTTAGTAGAGATGGGGGTTTCAATGTTGGCCAGACTGGTCTTGAACTCCTGACCTCGGGTGATCCACCTGCCTTGGCCTCCCAAAGTGGTGGGATTACAGGTGAGAGCCCCAGCGCCTAGCAAGCCCATTATTTTCTAAACAGACTTCCACTAGTTGTGTAACTTTCCTAGAATTCTAGCCAATATTTAATAATTGTTGCCACAGACTTATTTTTAGAGATGGGGTTTCACCACGTTGGCCAGGATGGTCTCGATCTCTTGACCTTGTGATCCGCCCACCTCGGCCTCCCAAAGTGTTGGGATTACAGGTGTGAGCCACTGCGCCCGGCAGACTTTATAATTTCAACTTTAGTATTTATTGAAAACTACCAATTATCATGCTCACCTCATCACCACATAGAAAAACAAACAAAAGAACCCCTACCAATTATCTTAACAAAAAGAAACTTGCACATGGAGGTGTATGAAACTCTCAACTAACTTAATGACCAAAATCCTCCTCAATGACAAGACTGTAATACTAAAAAGTCCCTCTGAGTGCCTGATCACCCTCTCAGAATTGTTAAGCAAGCTGTGGCTAACATACAAGATTCCTTTTATGTCACCATTTTCAAAAGCATTGTCACTTTTTTCTAAGACACCTCTTTGAACCTGTTTTGGAACCAATCATATAAATGCCAGCCTCTATACTACTGTGAAGATTAAACAATGAACAAAAGTGTTTTATAAATAAGAGTGGACAATATCAGGTTTTTATTGTTTCATTCATTAGAAATGTTCTTGGCCATCTCATGCAGGAACAGCTGGAGGAAATGGAAGAACGCCAGAAGCAGTTAAGAAGTGGGGTGCAACTCCAGCAACAGAAAAACAAAGAGATGGAGCAGCTAAGGCTCAGTCTTGCTGAAGAGCTCTCTACTTATAAGTCAGTTTCTGCTGCTACACAAATCTCATTCAACACTGGCTGAGGGGATGGTGGGGAGGGCTTAGGGGAAATTTTAGAGTCAAAAACAAAAAATGGATTTGGGAAATCATTTTAAAATTGTGCTTATCCACAAACACATGGAAAATGGCTCTCTTTTATTAAAGGGCTATGCTACCCAAGAACCTGGAACAGGATGCTCCCACTTCTCAGGCAGGTGGAATGGAGACAAAGTCTCAAGGTGATCCTTCTGGAGAGAAGAGTGGTGTTCGCATTGTTATCGCTTTCCTAGCTTAACAATACTAATTAATGCCTAAAAAAAAAAAAAAACCAGGCCTGGCACCGTGGCTCACACCTATAATCCCAGCACCTGGGGGGGCCCGAGGTGGGTGGATCACCTGAGGTCAGGAGTTTGAGACCAGCCTGGCCAACATGGCAAAACCTCATCTCCACTAAAAATAAAAAAATTAACCTTGGGAGGCAGAGACAGGAGAATGGCTTGAACCAGGAGGCGGAGGCTGCAGTGAGTCAAGATCGTGTCACTGCATTCCAGCCTGATTGAGTGAGACTGTTTCAAAAACAACAAACAAAAAACCCCAAGTGTGTGCCTAATTACAAGGGGATAACCCATGCCTCCAAAATACCTGGGTCAGGCATTCAAAAATTCGTTTGGAATGTTTCAGTTTCTAGTAGGACTCAAAATATGCCTTATTATCACCAGGAATTCTGTGGCATCTAGGCTTTGGGCATACTTTCCTAACCCTACCCTACCCACCTGCTATTTTCAGCTTCCTTACAATAGCAGGCAGTTGTGTTATCAAAAACAATCAACATATCTATCCATTAATTTCCTTATGTAATATTCAAATGCTGTGGTTTTGGGTGGAAGCAGAGATGTTCATATTACACAGATTGACTTTTAGACACTGACAAAACTGGAAGGCATCTTTCTGACCAATCACCTATTGAGGATCCCTCCTGGAATATTTTACTGTTATGTTCTCATAAAAAGTCCCAGAGTCCCTGAAACTAATAAAAGAAAGTCTGTATCGAGATACACACTATACAGATGCCTGTAAATTTTATCTAATTTACATCAAATTCGTAAGCAACTATTTTAATTGTTGCTCTAACGTTCTAGGATTTTCTTTTTAAATTTCTTTTTATTTAGTAGAAATGGGTGGTCTTGCTATGCTGCCCAGGCAGGAGTAGTGGCACAATCTAGGCTCACTGCAATTACCCTTCCCAGGTTCAAGTGGTATTCCTGCCTCTGCCTAAGTAGCTGGGATTACATGTGCACACCACCACACTCAGCTAATTTTTTTGTATTTTTAGACAGGGTTTCACCATGTTGGCCAGGCTGGTCTCCACTTCTTAGCCTCAAGTAATCTGCCCGCCGTGGCCTCCCAGAATGCTGGGATTACAGGCATAAGCTACCATACCAGGCCTTGAGAATTTTCTTATACTGTGTTTTTCTTTCTTTCTTCCCTCCCTCCCTCCTTCCTTTCGTTTTTTTTTTTTTTTTTTTTTTTTTTTTTTGAGGAGTCTCACTCTTGTTGCCCAGGCTGGAGTGTAGTAGTGTGATCTCGGCTCACTATGACCTCTGCCTCCGGGGTTCAAGCAATTATGCCTCAGCCTCCAAAGTAGCTGGGACTACAAGCATGTGCCACCACATCCAGTTAATTTTTTATTTTTGGTAGAGATGGAGTTTTCACCACATTGGCCAGGGTGTTCTTGAACTCCTGACCTCAGGTGATCCGCCCACCTCAGCCTCCCAAAATGCTGGGATTACAGGCGTGAGTCACTGAGCATAGCCTATACTGTGTTTTTTTTTTTTTGAGACAGGGTTTTGCTCTTGTTACCCAGGCTGGAGTACAATGGCGCGATCTCAGCTCACCGCAACCTCCGCCTCCTGGGTTCAGGCAATTCTCCTGCCTCAGCCTCCCAAGTAGCTGGGATTACAGGCATGCACCACCACGCCCAGCTTATTTTGTATTTTTAGTAGAGACAGGGTTTCTCCATGTTGGTCAGGTTAGTGTCAAGCTTCCAACCTCAGGTGATCCACCCTCCTCCGCCTCCCAAAGTGCTGGGATTACAGGTGTGAGCCACCGCGCCCGGCACCTATACTGTGTTTTAATCCAACATATGACTGACACTATGCTTAATGTTTGGGAAATTAAAACCTTGCAACTGAAGACAATGATCTGCTAAATGCATTTGTGTGGATCAGATTAAAAGTACAATCTGGAAAAGACAATGCCTAATCCAAAGAACCAAAATTACAGGATTTCAGGCGTTGTAACAATACTTGTAAGAAGTTAACCTAGCAGAGAAAACGTGTAACTATCCCATCCATCACCATCACATAGGTTACCATTCATTCTATTTCATAAATAAGAGGCATCCAAATATTTGCTAGGGGAGTCATTCCTGATCATCCAAAAATCACACAGTAACAATCTCCTCAACAAAGCCTGCCCTAACTAAACTTCAGATGTTATAAACTTTCTACTGTATTATTTTAACTTGCAGAAAGTATAAACTTACTCTTTTTGTTTCAACCTTACAGGGGCTGTTTAGAAACCTATGGCCAAATCTGTAACCCAGAAACACCAAAACACTTTTTAGAAGATCACTAAGTACCCTCTGGACGTACTCTTCCAAACAGACAAGAAACTTGGCAAGCAATCATCCTGTGAAAGTTGCAAATACTGGCTGACCTGCTTAAAAAGATTCTGGAGTTGGCCAGAGGCAGAACACCAGTCAACTCTTCGCTGGACTCTATTTCATCTGCTGTTGGTACTGATCTCAGTGCATCAAGGAAAGGAAAAATAAGCCTCCCATCTTCCAGCAGCAATCCTCACATACATATGTGCTGAGTAAAGATCAATATATGGATGCATCTTGGAGTATTTTAAAGAATGTTTATGTTGACCCAAACCAAAAACATTGAGGGGCACATGTGGAGTCAAAAAGATAGCCAATTTCCATTGCACATGGGTTTACAATTTGCATTCTTTTGTGCCATTGAGTGTGACAAATTAAATGAATACTTTTACAAAGTTTACTTTTTGTTAAAGGACATGTTGACTCAAATAGCTAAAATTATGTCAAGGTGGCCAAATGTGGTGGCTCACACCTGTAATCCCAGCACTTTGGGAGGCGGAGGAGGGTGGATCACCTGAGGTTGGAAGCTTGACACTAACCTGACCAACATGGAGAAACCCTGTCTCTACTAAAAATACAAAATAAGCTGGGCGTGGTGGTGCATGCCTGTAATCCCAGCTACTTGGGAGGATGAGGCAGGAGAATTGCTTGAACCTGGAAGGTAGAGGTTGCGGTGAGCCGAGATCATGCCATTAAACTCCAGCCTGGGGAGGAGCAAAACTCTGTCTCAAAAAAAAAAAAAAAAAAAAAAAAAAAAATTGTGTCAGGGTAATTTTCACTATACTCTGAAACAACTAGACTTGAAGGAAAGAAAGCAATCGAGATTTGAACCTAATGGTTAAGGCTATTCAGATTTTCCCAAAGATCTTACCTCATGAAAGTGGTTTTGGGTCAGAATGATCTGCTCAGTTAAAAAAACAACAAAAAACTAAGTGACTGGAAAGAACCAGACATTTTATCTGGTTATTGCATCTGGTGGTAAAGGCTTTCAAAGCCTATTATTTCTAATCTCTAAAGTAAAGGCCTCAGTGAAAAACATGCTGGGGAGGTTCAAGCACCTTTTCCAAATGTAAATTTTGCCTTAAATTCTCTCTACCAAACTGCCTTTGACACTCTTGAAAGCCCACGTAGTTCTTTAGAGATGGACTTCAAAGAAATGTTATCTTAACAAAGACTAATCTGTGCCACCTCTGATTCACTGTTTCATGTCTTTCACATGAATAAGTCTTCTAAAGCCAGAGACTGGTGTTTGATGGATGTTTCAAACTAAATAAAACCCATCAGCATGGGGTTATATAGAAAAGCAATTTATTCCATTTTAAGCACTTACACAGTTAGTCATGGAGAGTAACAGGCCTGCTGGTGAAACAGGTCACCCAAAATGGAGATGGCATCAAACTAGTGGTCAAGGACTAACTCCTAAAAAAAAAAGCAACTTTTATCAAGGATTAATTTAAATTTAAAACAAATACAAGTTATTGATTCACTCTTCTCAACTTGACAGTCTACCTGTGGTATAACTGTCAGGTAAAAACATACATCTTTACAACTTGGTGGTCCCAAGTTAAAAAAAAAAAAACAAAAACAACACCATTTCACAGAAAGGAAAGAAACAACATGAAAACAGCTCAAGAAATACACTAACGAGCAAAAATATATGGGGAAAGAGGAACGTGTAGTTTTGACTTAACTGAAGAAACCAAGAGGAAACTGGTCTACATATGAAAATGTGCATCCTGCAAAGTCAGGTGTCAAGATTTGAGTAGGAATCTATATGACTTGAATCTCCCCTATTTCCTGAATAAAAGTGACAAGTTTCAGTATTTATACTTCATGGCTCAGACACCTACCTCATTTGGCTCTATTCCTTATTCATTCTAGCCTTTACTTAAATGAGTCTGAAAAACTTGGGGATATAGCATAAGAAAAATAATCACACATAATATTCCCCTTTCTGTAGCTACTTTAGACCTGGGTTTGTTACTAGAAAATTCCTGAAGAAAATTTCAATGTAAGTCTGTGGCTTTGCTGAATCAAGCCCCCCTCCCCCATTAATATTTAGAAAACAGCCACTGTTTGGGCTAATAGCATTACTGGTGGTACCTATTATATAGAGGGATAGCTGAACAAAGTCTGTGTCTCAAAACCAGTGTTAAATCACTCTCAGGGTTGAGAAGAAAAAAGGGGAGTCTAAAAGGGGAGTAAAGACATATATCTAGGACCCTTGTCCTTCTGGATCCACGCTTCCTTCAGGGTCTTCATCGTTATAAATGTTCTCTGCCTGCCCAAAAACAAGAAAAATAATTTAGTAAACATAAAGACTTCATAAAGTGAAGGCTTCAACAACAGATTAGGCCAGGGAACAAGACAATAAATATAGCTTTTGGGCCACATAGTCTGTGTTAGAATACTCTGCCATTGTTGGATCACCTGAGGTCAGGAGTTTAAGACCAGCCTGGCCATCATGGTGAAACCCCATCTTTAAAAAAAAAAAAATTTATATATATATATATATATATATATATATATATATATATATATATATAAAAGAGGCCAGGCACGGTGGCTCACGCCTATAATCCCAGCACTTATGGAGGCCGAGGTGGGTGGCAAGATGAAACCCTGTCTCTACTAAAAATATAAAAATTAGCTGGGCATGGTAGTGCGTGCCTGTAGTCCCAGCTACTCAGGCGGCTGAGGCAGGAGAATAGCCTGAACCCAGAAGGTGGAGGTTGCGGTAAGCCGAGATCGTGCCATTGCACTCCAGTCTGGGTAACAACAACGAAACTCCATCTCAAAAAAAGTTTTTATAGAGCTCAATCTCTAGCCCTGTGACCCCGAGGTTGATGAGTGGTGCCAACAAGTTTTAATTCTCAAATTGAGTGTTTGGCCTCTCTGATTAAACCCACTATGAGGCTATCTAAGGGCCCCACAAAAGTCACCCCACAGTAGAACAAACTCAGGTGTAGTCCAAAGTGGATCATTAGGAATGACAGACACTCCTAGCACTCTGCAAACTCAAGTGCTTCTGAGGAGCTCTGTGCCAAGAAGTGGGGCAAAGACGAAATATTTACTTAATCTACCACAATGCTAAAAACACCAAATAAAGTTAACAACCTGTAATGGAGGTGATGGCCTTGCAGGGATCTAGTTTAACTTTGAACTTAATTTTTTCTTTTTATGAGACAGGGTCTCCCTCTGTCACCCAGGCTGGAGTGCAGCGGTGCCATCTTAGCTCACTGCAATCTCTGCCTCCCGGGCTCTTGCCATGCTCCCAATGAGTTGGGACTACAGGTGTGTGTCACCACGCCCAGCTATTAAGTTTTTGTATTAATACTGAATAAATTTATTACAAAGTAAGGTGAATTTTCTGTTTTTTTTTGTTACACATTTAACATATCTTTTTTGCAAAACAAACAAAAAAACCACAGTACAGAAAGGTATAAAGAAACCAACAACATTTTAGCAAACAGCTTTTTTTTTTTTCTTAGAGAGAATTTCACTGTTGTTGCCCAGGCTCTGGAGTGTAAAGGCGAGATCTTGGCTCACCACAACCTCGGCCTCCCAGGTTTAAGCAACTCTCCTGCCTCAGCCTCCTGAGTAGCTGGCATTACAGGTGCCCGACACCACACCCATCTAATTTTGTATTTTTAGAGATGAGGTTTCTCCATGTCGGTCAAGCTGGTCTCGAACTCTTAACCTCACATGATTCGCCCACCTTGGCCTCCCAAAGTGTTGGGATTATAGACATGATGGAATTACAGGCATGAGCCTAGTTAGCAAACAGCTTTCTAAATATAGCCTAGATACACAAAATTTTTAAAATGAGGAATACCATCATGCTATTCTTCAGTCTGCTTTCCCCTATTAGCAGCATGACATGAATACCTTATAAGCCTATCCCTACTTCTTTCTTGCTCTTAGAGACAGGGTCTCACTTTGTTATCCAGGCTGGAGTGCAGTAGTGTGATCACAGCTAGCTGTAGCCTCAAACTCTTGGGCTCAGGGGATCCTCCTGTCTCAGCCTCCCAAACAGCAGGGACTAAATGCACATGCCATCATGACTCACAGCAGCCTTCACCTCCTGGCTCAAGGTATCCTCCTGCCTTGGCCTCCCAAGTAGCTGGGACCACAGGCACATGCCACCAAGACCGTCTAATTTTTCTATTTTTAAGTAGAGATTGGGTTTAACTATGTTGGTTAGGCTGGTCTTGAAACCCTGACCTTGTGATCTGCCTGCCTTGGCCTCCCAGAGTACTGGGATTACAGGCGTGAGCCACCATGCCCAGCTAATTTTTTGATTTTTTTTTTTTTTTTTTTTTTAAAGAGACAGGGGTCTCACTTTGTTGCCCAGGCTCATCTAGAACTTTTGGCCTCAAGTGATCCTCCCACCTGAGCCTCCCAAAGTATTTGGATTACAGGTGTGAGGCACTGAGCACAGCCCATAATCATCTTCCTTTTTGATAAGCTGATAGTAATATTACAAAGTATAGATATTATGATGGTATTTGGAGGTAAAAGAAAAGTATGGATGTAGTACAATCTGTTAATCTGGCAGGCCATAGACATTTTATTTCTGTCTTCAATTAATAGTGCTATTCCATTTTATGAAGGTATTGATTAAAATATCCCCCTTCCTCATGCTGAGTCAAAAACTATTCTGGTACTAGATCTATAGTTTCTTCTGAATTACTTTCATTTACCAGACAACCCTCAAGTTACACAATTCCTAAAAAAAAAAAAAAATTGTGGGCCAGGGTCACATCTGTAATCCCAGCACTCTGGGAGGTGGGCAAATTGCTTGAACTCACAAGTTCAAGACCAGCCTGGGAAACATGGCAAACCCCATCTCTACAAAATCTTAAAAAATTAACTAGGCCAGGTAGTACATATCTGTGGTCCCAGTTACTAGGGAGGCTGAGGTAGGAGGATGACTTTAGCTTGGTAACTGGAAACTGCAGTGAGCTGTAATCACACCACTGCACTTCAGCCTGGACAAGAGCAAGAATTTCTCTTCCACCCTGAAACTGTGGTACACTTCATATAACATAAAATTTAACAGCTTAGCTATTTTATGTGTACAGTTCAGTGGCATTAAGTACACTCATGTTGTATAACCATAACCACCATCTATCCCCAGAATGTAACTATTTTTTAATATTGAGATACCACAGTTATTTTTAATAAAGTGAAGTGCTTTGAAAATTTGAGAAGGGTGACTACCTTCTTTTAGATAGAGATAGGGGATATTTTTGAAATCTAGCTAGGTTTCATGGAGAAATGACACACCTCCTTTGGGTATGTAAATTTGTACTTGTAAGATGATGAGGAAAGATAAGAGAAACACTGCAGATAGATGGTATGAAATTTGGAAATGAACCAGAACTAAAGGTGAAAGGACATGAAAAATTCTTAAGTTTTCAAGTCTGGTTAGCTGGGAAAATATTGGAGCCATGTTAAAAAAAAAAAAAAAAAAAGAAAGTCCTAGCATTTTGGGAGGCCAAGGCGGGCACATCACTTGAGGTCAGGAGTTCGAGACCAGCCTGAACAACATGGAGAATCCCTGTCTCTACCAAAAATACAAAATTAGCCAGGTGTGGTAGCAGGCGCCTGTAATCCCAGCTACACGGGAGGCTGAGACAAGAGAATCACCTGAACCAGGGAGGCAGAGGTTTTGGTAAGCACCACTGCACCCCAGCCTGGGAAACAAGAGCTAAACTCTGTCTCAAAATCAAAGCAAAACAAAACAAAAATAAAGCAAGGAGGAGGAAAGAGGAGAAAAGAGAAGTGGGAGAGAGAATCAGTTTTGTTTAGCTGAGTTTAAAATACCAGTGGGATAACCAAATACAAGTAGGCAGTCAAAAATGACAAAGTATAGACAAGCCTTAAAATCACACCTGAGGGCCTATTTCGGACACAACAAGGAAGCCAGACAGGAGAATCCTGGGCAGAAAAGCACCATCAGTCTTAACGCGGCTGTTCTGGCCCTGGGAACTAACAACTTGGACGTCCACTCAAGAGACCTAATCTGAAAGTTGGTAATTTCAAAGACGACAGGAGGATAAATTTACAATGATGGAAAGAAACCAGCGTAAAAAGGCTGAGAATACTCAAAATCAGAATGCCTCTCCCTCTAAAGATGATCACAGTTCCACATCAACAATGGAACAAGGCTTGATGGAGAATGAGCGCATCCCAATAACAGAATCACGCTTCAAAGAATGGATAATAAGAAACTTCTGTGAGTTAAAAGAACATGTTGTAGCCCAATGTAAAGAAACTAAGAACTTTGAAAAAAGGTTTGATGAAATCCTATTGAGAATAGACAACTTAGAGAGGAACATAAATGAATTAATGGAACTGAAGAATACAATACAGGAACTCTGAGAAGTATGCACAGGTTTAAACACTCAAATTGTTCAAGCAGAAGAAAGGATATCAGAGGTCAAAGTCCAACTTAATGAAATAAAACAAGAAGACATGATTAGAGAAAAAAGGATAAAAAGGAATGAGCAAAGTCTGCAAGAAATGTGGGACTATGTGAAAAGACCAAATTTACATTTGATAGGTGTACCTGAATGTGAT